GAGAACCAATCAAATCTTGAGGATGCTAAACTGTTAGTGTTGTTGTGGGCAATGGAAAGCATTGGGTTCCATAGATTGAACAATGTCGTCTTCGCATGCGAATTTTCGGATAGTAGGGGCTTTTGAAAGACCAATGGCATGACCTTCCTTTGGTTACCTATGTCTCGGTGGGATTTCCTTTGTGTCTATTGAAGAGATCTTTGTTAGTGAGAGTGTTTAATCCTCTCTTTGCTCTGCTTGAAATTTTTGGTGTAAATACTAGGTTATGGATCCAATGGATTCAATGGTTGATAGATGCCTCTGGTTATTTTTTTTTGGGAAGACGAAGCTTGTAATTGTACTTGGTCGGTTGACCGGTTAATGGAATTATTCAGAAGAAAAAAAAAATATGTATTCTATTTTACGAAAGCTTGATTTATAGATATTCATCTCTCGATTGAAAGTACAAAACGAAAGCTTGATTGTTGTTATCTTTGAGCTTTCCTTTGAACACGATGTACTTGTGTGTTATGTCTACCCCTCGTTAATAAACAAATAGACAATTATATAATACTTGTACACATTTTTGTTGTATCCAATTAAGAGCTCTAAAATGCATAGATGATCGTGATTGATGCACGAAGCAAGTGGATCAGGCAATCAGTTTCATTTGTACACAACTGGTAAGTGAAAATAGTATTGATGATTCTCTGCAATTTAATAAGAACATCACTTATGCTTATTGTTTCTCTCCTTGTGTCCTTAATGCTTCTTTACTTCGCAATTCTAGTTCTTAAACGATTTTTTTTTGTCCTTCAATGCAGAAAATGACAATCTTGTGAGTTTCACATAAGTGAAAACGACTGAAAAATAAATGATCAAACTTAAAAGAGTCTTTCTCTAGTTTAACCACAATCTTGAAAAGTACACATAGGCATGCATGTATGTTGCTGAAAATAATTGAACTCTAAGAATGCAACTTGCAATTTAAAATACAATTATGAATTTAACTTCAAATTGAATAACTAGAAGACAAAAATGTACACAAACTTTAAGGCGATAAGTCTAAGTCCTAAACAGAACTAAGTGAGAAGCACTAACTGTTTTGTGCATATATGAAATATGAAAGCGTATTGAATAAATCCTACGGAATCTTTGCTGGAAGAGTATTGAAAATTTGGCAGTTAAAACTCGT